TCTAGACTCTAATGCTTGTATCGTGAGTGTGTACAACTTACATTCTAACAGTGAGGAGATTTATTTCCATGCCCCCATAAAATATGTAACATTTCTCTTCTCCTTTCCCTCTCCTTCTCTCCAATTTTCCTAATGGCTTACAACTTCAACAATCATCAACTCATAGCCTATCTACTTTATCCCGTTTCCCTGCTCCAACAATCCAAATTATTCTGAAGCAAATCTCAGACATCATATCACTCCAGCTCTGAATATTTTAGTATGTATCTCTAAGAGGTAAGGACTCCTCTTTTTAAACATTATCTCAGCTCCCCAAAAGTAACAATAGCAGCTTAATATCATAAAATATCCAGTGTTCACATTCCCTAATTGTCATATAATTGTCTTTTTTATTTGTTTGTTTGAATCTAGATCAAAACAAAGTCCATACATTGCAATTGATTAACATGTCTCTTATGGGCAAACATTCTTCTTTTTTTTTTTGGCTCTTATTTTCAAACAAAAATGTGGAATTTTTATGTAGCAAAAACAACCTTCTCTGAATGAAGCAGGAGTGCAAAATGCTGTCTTGAAGAAGTTGGTGAAATGTCAAGTCATTGCCTTTGCTGAGGAGATAAGCAGTTAACATTCACCTTTCTCTGAATGATAAAGAAGGAAAGGAGGAACTATGTTTCCTTGTAAACACTTTTATTAGCCACAGAGAACTGCATACAAACATGATGCTTGTGAAACAAAGTGCTCTGCAGTAAATAGGAACTGAGGAAATAGAAAATGAGTTGCAAATCTGAAATTTATTTATTCCAATGAAAGAGAAGTTTATAAACAGCCAAATCAAACAGTCTGTTTTTGCAAATACTGGTTGGATTGATGAATCCTTTAAAGCAAGACTTTTATTTAATTTAAGACTTTTAAATTTTTCAAACGTTGCTTGCTCCATTCTGTGCCTTTGGTAAAAGGGAAAAAAATGACTTTAGGTGATAGGAAATTAATCAAGACTTCCCTCCAGAAAGAATGTCTCTTAAGGATCCCACCTTAAACAAAGCTTTTTCATTTCAAAATTGAAAGAAACCCTATGTTAGAATAGGACGTACACAATAATAATACATACACATACATACAATAATAATTGCCATTTAATAGAAGAAGCAGGAGGAGCTCACAGTAACAGTGCAGGAGTTAAGAACATGGGCTGCAAAGAGAGAACGTTGTCCCCTTTTCCTTTGCCTGTGAAATGGGGACAATATTAGCTGCCTCACAGGGCTGCTGCTAGGGTCATAGATGAGATCATGAAAAGCACCCAGCACTAGCTAACAGTAAAGACTAGTTGTCATTATCTTTAGACATAGGAAGGGATCACATTTGTCATAATCAGTTTCACCATGAGAGAAGGAACTTAGTTTATGGTAACATTATGAGTCAGTAACAAAAAAAGGCAACAAGCTCTCTGTACCCAGTGATGATCACACTGCCTCCCAGATATTTTGCTACACTGTTAAAAGCACCCTGGGAAAAGAAGTACCCTGCATGGGCGATGTTAAACTATTTCCCTTGCCGAAGTTCCAAATATTTGAAAATCGTACAAGAAATGGCTCTGTATATATTAAGTTCTAGGTAAGACAGTACTGCAGTAAGTGACCTAAACAGAGATTAACCTGAAATTGGACTCTGATCCCCAAGGTAACCAGCTGGTGTAGCCCAGTCCTTACTGGCCCTGCAGAGGAAAAACAAGCTTGTGTCCATGTCTATCTCAACTGTGATCTGGCTGGATATGATCTAATCTTTGAACAGTGCCTAAGCACATTTCAGACGCATAATGTGTGTTTGATAATACTAAGCAGGGAGCTTTGGGTTATGGTGTGTACCCTAAAAGTGAGGAAGTGATACAGGAAAATGAAGACCTAGCGTTTATGATCTGGCCTTTCTCTATTCTCTTCATTTAAGTCAGACAAGTTTCTTTTTCTGTTGGGTCCCTCTCAAAAATCAAACTAATTAACAGAGTGGAAGGAGGGAAGGCGGTTATTCATAGTATCAAAGCATCCTTCAGTTTAAATCATTTGTTGCAGACTTCCTTTTAAATTAAGACCTCCTCTCTCACAGTGTGAAAATTCATAGCTCTCCCCAAGCACCTGGTTCTCTCCATTACTCTATTCCCTGAGGAAAGGAAAGGGGGGTGGGAGGGGAGAGGTCTTCAATGAAAATTTCCTCATTAATAATGTCTTATGTTTCTTTAAAAGCTTTATTTTTGTGAGGCAACCCTTGGTTGACCTCACAGATTGCAAGGACCTTATCACCTTACAATCCCTTATTTATTATTTTTTTTTAACTTTTTACACCTACAGCACCTAGTCTTCCTAGGTAGTCTCTCCCGTCCAAGTACTAACCAGGCCCGACCCTGCTTAGCTTCCAAAATCAGACAGGATAGGGATTGTTCAGGGTAGCATGGCTGCAGACTAAAGCTTTATCATTTTAAAGCACTTTCAGACCTACTGTGATCTTGTACCAGGTAGTATAAACTGTAAACCTATTTGAGAGATCAGACCTGAACTTGGAATCTTTCAACCAAATCCAGTGGTCTGGAACCTGGAGCAAGTGGCCCCATGCTCATATCCACTGATGTGATATGCTGCTGCTTTTCCTCCCCTCTGTGAGTCAGTTCCAGGCATCTTCCTCTTTCCTCCTCAGTTAACTCTGATTAGTGCCTCACTTCATGCAACTGCTAAATGGGAAAGACTGACGTGAACCATCATTCAATCCACTAGTATTTATTGAATGTCAAACAGAAGCCAGACTTTGAAGAGTTTTAAGGAGAAACTTAATCTTCTTTGTCACTTAAAAAGACTATGGTGAGATTAATCACTTTATCAGTTGGAAACAATTATCTAAACAATTATCAGCCACACTGAAATTCCTAGCTAGATGTGTCTGTCCCTGCTTGCAAATCTGGAAATAAACTTCAGTGGCTTCTATAAGAAAGCTAAGCCTTAGAAAATGTCTCTATACAGACTTGATAAGATTTTAAACCTCATTTCTTAAATTATTTATTCAACTCATTGCATGAATTTGCATCTGCTAGGCTCCAGGGGTAAGAAATTGAATAAGATGCAGTAGTCCTGAACCTAAAAGAAGTCAGAGTCTAAAACAGGAAGACAGACCAGTGCACTGCTCTGAGTTTTCCAAGAGTCCCCTAGGTTCTTAATGGTCAGGCCTCACAACCCTATGGGCTAGAGATGGACCCCAGCTACCTCTACGCTGTCTGCCGCCACACTGGCCTTTTTCTTTCATTTCTTCAAACTCCCCCTTGCTCCCTCCCCCACTGGACTTTGCGTGAGTCCTAGTTCCCTCAGCTTGAAAGTTCACCAGGCTCTTCTTGGTCTACTTAGCTCCTCCTCCTCCTTCAGCTTTTAGCTACAGCTGAGATGCCTCAAGAAGCTTTTTACAACTTGCAGATCTGGTCACATCTTCCTATGAAACCCTCTACCACCTTCAACCTTATCGTATTTATAGTTTTACATGTACTTGTGTGATTGTTTAATATTTGACTATCTGCTCTCAGGTGCCTAAGATCCTAGAAGGGTGGGGGCTGCTTTTAGATGTCAGTGTGCGGCACACAGAAGGCCCACAGGAATGAAAAATGAAGTTGTGCAGAGTCAGTATATGGGCACTCATTCCCACTTTATTTACTAGCTGGGCAGTCACCACTAGTCACTGAGCTACCAGATTATGCATAAAGATTTATAGTCGTATAAAAAAAAAAAAAAGCAAACAAAAAAATGAAGTTAGAGGTGCCTGGACCTAAGCAGGCTAGGCTTCTGTGGAGGGGTCAGGATGGAATGAATTAGCTCCTTTAACACAAGGCCTAGCTTCTATCTTAGATCCTATACGACACTGAAATCTAAAGGTCGTTGGCCCCTGGGAAGCTTTAAGGTCTCAAATGGCAGACATCCCATTATATTCAGTGTTGTGGCCCCAATACCCGGGCTGTGCCTGTTACTTAGCATAAGATACACAAGAAAAACACTTAGTAAATATTAGCCATCGCCAGAATTAACGAATACATTCTAGAGGGTGGGACGGAGTGGGAGACATTATCCATGGCTTTGAAGAAATATTTAAGCTTGAGTTGACTTTTGAAAGAATACAAACGACCCCTCAACCACAGATTTGAAAAGGTAAATTTTCCTTCTCCCTTTCTTCTGGAAAACAGAAACCATAAAACCTCTTAACAAACCTCTAGGCCTTCACTCTCTTCCCTCCCCTCACTTCACAGAATTTTAGACCTCTCTACACAGTCACTGCGGAGACTCTGCAATCACTGTGCTGCCTTCAGGCATTTCCTGAACAGGGTGCAATCTTGCTGAGGATGTATGTAGTTAGAGCCCCTGCTGCGGAGATGGTATTTAAGATCTTCATGGGAAAAGTAGCAAGATTCATAAACAGGGAGGAAGGGGGGTCTTTGCATTTTTCCATTCACTGGCATTTTGGCCAGGCACCGCCATCCCTCGCTAGGCTGGAGGACTAGCACGCGAGCCCTGCGGAACCTGAGGCCCCGCCCCCGCCTCGCCTCACCCCGCCGCAACGGTCTCGGCACGCAGGCGCACTGGCGCGCGCACGCGGGGGCGGGGCGTGCGCAGGCCCCTCTAAATAGGGGCGGAGGGGGCGGCACTGCTACCCTGTCGGTGCGAGTTCCC